CCGTTCAGTCACATGCCATTGAAACTACATTCAGCTGCAACATGTTCGGTTCGACCTTAGAAGGCCGTCTTCAGGCAATTGTTCACAAATTGGAACTGCCGCACTGCACCAGTTCGTGTGTCAGCGCATCCCATGCTGTTGCACATCGTCGTTCGCGCGAACCGAATCTAATTATAGACATATATGTAAGTAGGACTACAGTCCACCATATTTTCTCCAAGGATGACCAGAGAAAATTATATAGAACGGAACTTCGGACATTGACCCTCGTACCTACGTATGTGAGGTGCAGAAACTCTCGTCTACCCGGGCACCCAGAAGGTTCATTTCTCATCATGAATGAAAAAAAATAAATAGCTCGATACAAAGGCAAAGGTAAGTTGGCCCTGTGCTTAATTAAGCAAAACACCGTAAAGGCATGTTAGGAAGTAGAGCCTTAGATCCACCCTTCTTGACCTCGGTACTAGATGAAGGTGAGTGGTCAGCTTCGCCTTCCCACCGCTTCACCCCCTGAGAAAATCCCCCGGCACCCATTGACTAAAAGGCTGAGTGCACCCCACGGCCGGTCTGGACGCTGTAGAACAGAGAAAAATCTCTTGCCTCTGCTGGGAATGGAACCCCGGCCGTCCAGCCCCTAGCCCATCGCTATATACCGACTGAGCTATACATATATGTCAGTATATATTCCAGTAAATGAAAACTTCTGAAGATTAGCGCCTGTGCTTTGGAAGAATATATGGAATCAAGAGAGTATACATAGTGTGGTTCCCCTCTACGTGTCCTTACATTTCGTTTTAATTTAAATTTTATTCAGATTCCTGTATATAATTTGAGAATCGCCAGTTTTAGTTTACTACCGGAAGCTCGGAGACGGTGAGTCTGGGTGGAATTGCCCTCGCATCCGGCGAAGTACGTGTTTAGATTTAATTTTTCCTTTTAGCGAGATGGGCTGTATGTGTGCCTTTATCTCAGGTAGGAGGAAAATATTGTACAATATTTATATCTAATTTGTAATATTCATAAAACTAGTTAGGCAAATTAGGATGTAGATCATGATCTTCCGATTTACGAAGTTGAAGACTGCTGCCATCAAGATAAAGGCAGTAAGTTGCCCCGAAACGCCGGTAACCGCTTACGAGAATGCATGAAGTAATCCGAGAGACCACACCCTAAATTTTATCCACCGTGAACGACGTGAGCACAAAAGCTGACGAATCTCCATTGTTAAGATCCGTTACCAGGAAACGAATAGCGAAAGCAGACAAACTTGGCACGTGCTTTAGTGATTTGTAAAGTGTGGGGATCAGCAATGGCGCCATAATTACTTGTAGGGTTACGTTCTGTAAGTGCTCAATAAATCGAATCACCAAACCAAACCCCGTCTATTGTCACACTCCCTAACGTAGCACTATGTTCATATTTCGCCACCAGAATAAATCCACGATAATCATAATGTAAAAAAAAATGAAGAGATAAAGCTATCCTGTAACAGGCCGTGAATTCCCATATAGGGTTGTGAGACATCGAGACTTGAACACTTTCTAGACAATCCGCTAACAGATGGCGGCGAGTTGTTAGCCGGCCATCTTTTACTCCTAGGGAGATAGATTCCTGGTACTGATTTCTGTTAGAGGGTGAGTCGACCCCTGGGTCATAGTGCGGTTGGAAAGATTAGGTCAATTGAAAAATCCAGTGACCTAATGACCTTCCGGCTTGTAGAATAGTGTTTCAATCATCTATGCTACCGCGTGCCCCATAAATAAATATAAGTAATAAATCCTCCGTAAATGATTAGGAATGAAAACGCCTTGGGTCGACTGTAACTGCTAGGCTAAACACAAATCAGAACTCAAGAGCAGGTTAAATTCGGAGGACAGCTTGGGTTAGATTCTCGACAATTCAAGATTTTTCTCTACTTCACAACGTCCGGACGGGCTCTGAGGGCCATCCAGTGTCCCAATGGGCACATGGAACTCTTTTCCAGGGAGTAAAGCGGCAGGGGCGTGAAGTTGACCAATCATCTCTATATACTGCCGAGGTCAGAAATGGTGGAGCTGTACATCCACTCCTCCATAAGTCTTCAAGGCATAGTGCTAATTACACATAGGGACAACTTTATCTTACGGTTTACCTCCTATATTAAAATATAAAATATTCCATTATTTTTTGTGGGTATGAAATTTGGTTTCTCACATAAATGGAAGGCCACACATGAGAGTGTTTGATAACAAGGTACTAACAAGAATATATGGGGCCCTCTTGGCCCTTGCACCGCGACCACAGTGATCTATTGTGCCTACAGAATATATGGACATGAGGGATAGGAGGGGAGAGGACCTTAGAGGAAACTGCAGAATGGATGCTTCCCAGTTTGTATTCTTCGCCAGTTTCCCTTGAGTGTAATCAAGAAATAAAGGGCCAAGCATGCAGCGCACGTGTGAGAGATGGGAAACTTATACAGACTTTTAATCGGAACGCCTGGAGGGAGGAGACAACTCCAGATATTTCGGCATAGATGGAAGGATAATATTAAAACGAATCTTAATTAAATAAATTAGTGGTATATGAATCAGTGCATTCATCTAGCACAGGTTAGAGGCCAGTGGAGGATTCCTGTGAATAGTGTAATGAACCTTCAAGTTCGATAAAAAGCGGGGAATTTCTTGACCAGCTCAGTAACTATTAGCTTCTCACGAAGGAATCTGCCACACGGAGTTGTTATATTAGTCAAATCTATAAATAATAAATGAGATACACAATGTATTACATGCATTAAAATAAGGACGTCTCGTGTTCGAGAGGTTTTGTAAGTGTTCCCCATGATACATACGCCTCAGGCGAATTGAAAGCGTTGAGGTACTTTAATTTTGAGTTGAAGTACCGTACTTTTTGGGATCTGTTCACTCCTTTGTTAATAGTCCCCGTGATTTGCATTTATTAAATGAGCAGGAAAGAATATTATGTAAATTCTACCTATTGCCTTATGTAGAATGGTTATGCGGCGAGCTATAACCATCTACCATAACAGACAAGGAAGGCGTCGGTATGAAGGCAGAATTACAAGCAATCTCGTAATCTTTCATCATAACTGTCTCTCAGCAGCGGCTGGCTTACTGTAGACTTGGGAAGTTGTGTTAAGCTGCCACTAAAAATAGTTTTAATTGAAAAAGAGAGAGAGATGCTGCCCGTAACATTGTCACGTGTCACAGTGACTAAGATGTCGGTTTGGATTGACAATTGGATTTATTGGATACCTACATGTCGTAACTATAATTAATTATTACACTATTGCTGTTTCACACAGTTTACAATCACTCCAGTAATTCTTCAGTCTATATGCACCAATCTTCACGGAGTTATCACACAGGAGCTATAACAGTCTCACTGACTTAGACACCCAGAATATTACCCATAAGTAAACGCTTCTAATCACACGTTAAGTCTCCCCAGGCCGACGTCTAATTCTTCTCTACTCTTAGTTCCAATTCGCTCTGAACTTACAGCTCATGGCTGTCGTTATATAGCCGCGGAGCGGACATGGACCTACAGTAAATACATATCACGTGATCTCTATCCAGCCAGTCTATCGGCGTGTCCGTCGGATTTACAGAAAACAGCTTCCTCTATTGTTGCATGTTGGACCGTGTTTACAGAGCTGTTGCCTGGCGACGCGTTGATCGAATCCGTTACAATATTCAGCACTGCCCAGCTGTTCCTGAGGAAGCCTGCAATATTCTATCTGAAGTATATACAAGTGTCAATAATACCGATTTGCTCACAAATATCTTAAAGCTGCCGATTTAAGGCCAATGTTCGTATCTGGAATATAAAGTAAATTCTTACATGTGCTAGTGCTCAGAACATCTTGTCTTCAACCACCTGTTTTATGTCGCTGAATTTTAGTTTCTGAAATACTTAATACGAACTCGTACTCACCAATAGGAAGACCTTCTGAATTTTGAAGCCATATAGTTGGGTTTATCTGTGCTTGAGCCTAGTTACTTGTTGGTTTCTTGCTTGGTTTACTCTTCGTCCCTGAAAATGGGGGAGATACAGAAAAAGAACTTTGAAATGTAACGCTTTCTGTAGGCATAAAATAGATTTATAAGTTCGAAGTAATATAAAATCAAAAGTACCCACTGTTTATGGAAGCAGTCATAATTACAAGACCAGATCATAGTGGAAGATTAAAAGAAACAGTTCTTGAGTTTAAAATGAATTTGTGAATTTATTTGGTTCTGAAACTTAATGGTTTGTTCTTATCCAAATCAGTGTATTTACCTTCAAATAAATATGGCCGGTGTGTGATTCTCCGTAATATTAAGATTTAGTCACTTGTTCAATCAAAACCTGAAGGTTGAACAAAATTAATATTAATTCCCAGTCCTGAGCCAGATTAACACACTTTTCCATTCTGACACCTTACATCCCTAAGATTCTCCCCCCCCCCTTGGCACTACAGCCCCAGCGGGCCTAGGCCTACCTCCATGAACTCCGTTTCACTCGGTTTACTAGATCTTACACATACAGTAGGAATCCTTGGGCGGGTGATCAGCTCATCGCAAGGCCTCTACATATAGACAAACACAGAAAAACGCACACAAACATTCATGCCCTGAGTGGGATTCGAACCCACGATCCCGGCTTCCGAGCGAGCGAAGACAGTGCATGCCTTAGACCGCTCGGCTACCGTGACCGGCACTTCCCTAAGATACTGGATTCCAGTTTCCACAGCAATAGTTTATTCATCATTAGAGACACATTACCACACAACATTTCAATACCTGCAATAAATAGTTCCAGTGTCAGCGACATGTTGGTGTTGTTGCTCGTAGGAAATTAAAAGCTGGATTGCCTCTAGTGACATGATGTTCGTACCAAGTTTTATAAAAAATCATCACTATATTCAGATATTATTATGGGGAACAGATATGGCGATATTATTTAAAATAATTTTGATACGTAAATGATATTAACTTTCAATTTGTATACTTTTGCAGGAACGATCAATGATGGTTGGACTGTCTATTTTACGTTGGCGCCAATGATTGCTGGAGGTGGTCTTCCGAAAGTAAGTTTCTTAGCATGACTAATTATTCTGCTGCTCGAATATATTGACGTTTGTGACCTCTGTAAACTTATAATTTGGGAAAGATAAATAAACACGCAGAAGGACGCATCGACATTTTCTCATGCCGCATCAGGAAGAACAATTGAAATAGAAGTTATTTTCCGCACAAAATAAAATGAATCTGAAATACGCCCCTAAAGTTCGCGCTGTTTATTCTGACTTGGGAGTCTGTTAGATTTGTAGGTTGTTTTATTCAGACTGGTATCGATCGATTGAGGAGTTCACCCAGCGATAGGGAACTTGTACCTTCTTGAAATCTCGTCGGAGATCCGCTGTTCTCTCAGATTTTTGTATTTTAGTTATGTCCCTCAGTGTCATTATCGTAAAGTGCGCCAAAACAGGCTCCATTATGACTCATCTCAACGTCTACCAATTTATCCTGACAGTTGTTACGTCCTCTCATCCAACTTCAGTGTTTCTTCAAAGCCAATGCAGTCAACCAAGCAGGTCGGTGTACTGGCAACGCGCTAGACCTATATTTGGAAAGTTGTCGGAATCTCTTCTTGGATACAGGCTGTCGTTAGTGGTTTTGCTCAACCGTTCCAGAGAAATTCCGGGATAATACCGCTATTAGCCCACTACTGCTTACTATTTGAAGCCGTAAACTCTGAAATACATAAAAAAGATAAACCGCAAAAGGGAGATTTCAAACCAGGAGACTGAGAACCGAGCTCTCTTTCATATATACCAGCATTATTTTAGGGGTTTACAATTGTAATGCACGAAATATAAAAATGAACCCACAATTGGAATGTGACGTCCATCAATTCCCCAGTATGTTTCACTTTGGAAATTCCTTAAGGATGAAATTTGGTATTGGAGTGCCGTGCTAACGTTTACATGTGAATTTTATTTTGGTGTCCGTCGGTTCTTTACAACTTGCGCTTACATGAAACTGTACCGGGAATAGAAATTAGCTGATATTCTCAGGGATATATCATGGATATTTCATTAAGGCCTATAAATTTTATTTCCATCATTTTATACTCGTATAGGATGAAGGTAAAGGTTTACAGTTTAAAACAGTTTAAACAGGTAAACAGTTTAACAGATAACTAACTAAACCAACTCGAAGAAGCTGAGCCATTCTTGAGAAATCATCAGCTATTCACCTACTCAAGAATTTCCCAACATTTTACGGAACCCCAAGGTTCAATACCGTGTTTACAAGAGTCATCCAATGATCCCTATCCTGAGCCAGATAAATCCGTCCTTAACATCCTATACTATCTACCTAAGATCATTTTTAGCATTATCTACCCATCTGTGTTTTGGTCTTCCCAGTGGTCTCTTTCCTTCTGGCTTTCCCACCAATATTCTATAGGAATTCCTCTTCTCTCCCATTCGTGCTACATGCCCTGCATTATTCTACTTATACACATACTTGGAGAAGAGTACAAGTTATGAAGCTCATGTTAATGCAGTTTTCTCCAACCTCCTGTCACTTCATCTCTCTTCCTCCAGATATTCTCCTAAGCAGCCCCTTCTGAAACGCTGTCAGTCTATATCCCTCCCTTAATGCCAGAGACCAAGTTTCACACCCATACAAAACAACAAGCAAAATTATAGTTTTTATATTCTATTTTTTATGTTTTTAGACAGCAGACGAATTGACAAAAATTCTGGACAGAAAGGTAGCAAGCATTACCTTAATTCAACGTCTTCTTAATTTCCGTATGAATCAAATTTTGATTTGTTACTGACCTTCCCAAATATCAGAACTGTGCCACGTTTTCAAAACATCTGTTAGCTATTTTTACGTCATGATTCTGTCTCGCATTCTGGTTACGAGAGAGTAACTTAGTTTTTTCTGTGTTTACTTCTAGACCAACCTCTTTACTAGCGTCAAAGTTTTGTGTTTTTCTTCATGGTATCTACATTATCACCCAGTAGATGCACATCATCAGCATAGACCAGCAGACCATATCTGTCTGATCTGCTTCAGAACCAATTTGCCCGTATAAAAAGGCAAATTTGTCCCTTGCTTAACTAATTAAGCACTACGCCATGAAGGCGTATGGGGGAGTTTATGTATAGGAGCACATTTTCTTGACCTCGGTACTAGTTGGTGAATAGTGAGCTTCACAACCCGGCCGTTTTACCCCCCGGGGAAATTGCCCCCATTACTCATTAGATAGTAGGTTGGGTGGGCCCCAGAGCCAGTCTGGACGACGTTAAGAAGTGAAAATTCCGACCCCTCGGTAGTCCAGCCCGTAGCCAGTTGCTATACCGACTGAGCTATCCTGGCTCCCAGTTTCGCCATGTACGCATTTTACTATTATTGTTCCATCGGTAACCTGTTCTAGGGTGTAGATCATTAGAGAGTAATTGAGGAAGCCCAGTGTATGTTGTTGTTTGGAGTATTGGAACACCCCTGCAGCTCATAAGCAGAGCAGTATCCCTGGGGTTTACGGCAGTGAACTGTGGATTTCTTGCTCAGTTTTGGGCTGGCAGAAGTAGACAGCAAGGCTTCATCTCTTTGTAATATGTAAAGTGAAGCTTCTGTCCCAAGCTATTAAGGACGCAAGATTGTGCCGTTCTGAATGAAAGTATTCTCGTCTATTCTTGTGTAGAGGAACTCCGCTACGCTTGATATATATGGAAATCCGACGTGTCCTAAGCGTTTCCATTTCGGAGTCGATATTGTCCTGACGACACTTTGAGAATACCAAGTAACCCTGGCTTGCTCGCTTCGCATCCGAATTTGGAACTTATCCCCGACGCGTGTAATATAAAGGTGATGTCCCACAAGGTGAAAGTGGCAGAGCTAAGCCGATAATGTGGATTAAAAGAAGCAGCACAGGTTCCTGAAAGTGCTTTCCATCCAACAAATTAATTGTTGTCTCTCTGTAGGCTATAAACAAGACAATTTGTAAATAAACGAACTTCATGGAGGTTAACAGAATTTAAGCCGATCAAAGTGGCGGCACGGTCTAAGGCATGAACTGTCTTCGCCCGCTCGAACTCTGGGATTGTGGGTTCGAATCTCATTCGACTCATAGATGTCCAAGTGCTTTTATTCTATGTTTGTGTTGTTTTGTGTATAGGTAGAGGCCTTGCGAGGGGCTGATTCCCCGTCCAAGGAGTACTACCGACTGTATATAGGATTAAGAAAGTGAAAAGCGGCCAAGGCCCGACAAAGGGCTATAGAGTCATGGATGGAAGGATAGATGGATACAGATATAGATATTGATAGATATAGATAGAGAGGCGGGCGGGCAATAAAGTAAAAGAAAAGTAAAGGTATCCCTGTAACAGGCCGTGGAGACCCATAGGGTTTTGAGATGTTGAGATTCCCACATTTTTTGGATAATCGGCTCATAGATGGCGGCAAGGTTGTCAGTCCTACTCGCCGGCCGCCCTTTGCACCTAAGAATATTCAAAGAACATTCCTGGTACTCATTTCTGTTAGAGGCTGAGTCGAGCCTAGGACCACAGTGCGGCTGGAAGAATTACGTTGATTGGAAAAACCCAATTACCTCATCAGGGTTCGAACCCGCGACCTTCTGGCTTGTAGCATAGTGCCTCAACCAACTACACTACTGCGTGCCCACGCAGGCAGGCAGACAGATTTTAATACTAGTCAGAATGAAGGAATGTTAAATGTTAGTTTTAGCTGTGCTTGTTCATGTCTGTGTATTGTTGGTTATTGCTCCCGTAACTGGTAAAGGCAAAGGCAAAGGCAAAGGCAAAAGCAAAATTGTCCCTGTGCTTCATTAATTAAGCACTGTTCCATTATGAAAGGTGTGGGAGTGGAGGTATAGCTCCGCCATTCTTGACCTCAGCAGTAGATAGAAGTGAGTGGTCAGAGTGATGCCCCGGCCGCATTATCTCCAGGAAAGAGCCCCCAGAACCCACTGGCTTGGAGGTTGGATCCTGTGGAGTAAAGGTAAATCTGTTTTCCCCTGCCTGGAATCGTACCCCAGTCATTGAGCCCGTAGCCTGTTGCTATGCTGACTGAACTCTTGCATATCCACCGAAATTCAGTTACACCGATTTAACGTAAAAAAGGGGGACTTTGTTCCTGTGCTTAATTAAACACTACCATGAAGGCGTGTGGAGGAGTGAGGTAAAACTCTACCATTCTTGACCTTGGCAGTAGGTGTAGTTGAGTGGTTAGCTTCACGCCCCTGCCGCTTTAACGCTGGGGAAATCGCGCCCGGTTGCCATTGGATAGGAGGCTCAGTGACCGGAGAACCAGACCGGACGCCGTGGAGAAGAGAAAAATCACCGACCACCAGGGCCGAAGCCCGTCGCTCTACCGAACGAGCCGTTCAGACCCCCGTTACAATACTTTAAGAAGTAATATTAATTAAATGTGATTAAGGCGATCCACTGGGCCGGTCACGGTAGCCGAGCGGTTTAAGGCATGCACTGTCTTCGCTCGCTTGGAAACCGGGATCATGCGTTCGAAACCCACTCAGGGCATGGATGTTTAGTTTGTGTGTTTGCGTTTTTCTGTGTTTGTGTACAGGTAGAGGCCTTGCGACGAGCCGAGTCCTACCGAATGTGTAAGATCTAGAAAAACCGAAGTGAACGGAGAAGTTCATGGAGGTAGGCCTAGGCCCACTGGGGCTGTAGTGCCAAGGTGGGGGGGAGGGCGAGTCAATGAAGGAAAATAGAGTGGTCGGTGCATGTTGTAGGGTTGGAGGAGACGAGCAGTGGATGTAGAAATCTTGTCGAAAACCCGGAAGTAAAGCGGTAAGTTTGGACATGTAGAAGGAATGATAATATTGTGGCCTGTATGCCGAATATAATAGATGTTAATGGAATCAGTTGACAGTTTTTGACGGAGCAGAAACCTTGATAAATTAATAGTTCTTCACCTGGTCAAGAAATCCACATTTTTTAAGAATCTTAGAGGTTCATTAACTTGTTCACAAGAGCCGGCTGCTGGTCACTGTCCACACTTAGATCTGTTCCTCACAATGTTCGAGTCT